CTGGACAGCTGAGGAATTTGCTAACCCACCGTAAAAATGGGTTATTGGATGATAGGTTTAGCGCCAGCATTCACCAGCTACTATTTCTATGCCTTGTACATCGTTCAATGGAAAGTTTTGTTTGAAAATTAATATTGTTTCCAAGGATAGATAATTAGTAATGTTGGGGATACTATAATATTGGATATAGTGAGTCATAAATTAACCATTGTAACTTGTGTTTGGTGTATTTTATGTTAAAATCACCCCGTTTCTACAGTCGCACCCATGCGAGGCCGGGGGTTCCGAGGGTCCGTGCAGCGAGGAGACATGTTCAGGTCTCGTCCGCCCAACACATCTCGTCCGCCCTCACTCCACGTGGATGACTTTGTGGCACTGGAGACCTGTGGCGCTCAGCCTACTGGTCCGACAGGTTACAACAAGATATCTATGAGGGCTGCACAGGTATGTACAACAAAAAACTCTTTAGCTATTTTGAAATCTTGAAAAATTGGCTAAGAAAAGTTAAACTTGATGCAGGTCTAGAAAAGTTTTTTTTCAACCTCTTTTAAAATGAACAGTTTATGTCACGTAGCGGTTTAGTTTAGATTATTAGTATTATTTTGAAAATACATTTAATTTTGAGAATATTTCATAATTTTACTGATCATCGACTATCTGAAAACTAACGTTTTAAAATTTTTTGATACAATTTTTCTCTTTTAGGATATAATTGCCTCGAGAGTTCGTGGAAGACCTCGGCCATTTGGTGTTGACCGTGGAGGAAGGTTTTTCCCTACACCATATCCTGGCAGAAGAGAAAGTGGTAATGTTCCATATTCATGTTATTTTATTAATTGGATAGCAAGTGGAAGGTCGTCAGTCCAATTATGAGTGAAGAAATCAAGTGGATGATTAGATAGTTTTGAAAGAGATAGAGTTCAGCCAGCTAAACTGAAAAATTTAAAAATTTTCTAGGGTATAAAAAATCATAACATTGCTATTTTGTCCCAATTTAAGACTTCTTTAGAGAGATAAATCAAAACAGAAGTCTGAAACCTCCATTATTCCCATTTGTGGCCTCAAAAAAATGTTTAGTTTTATTAGTGACTAGCTGTACCCGCGGGCTTTGCCCCGTTCAACTTCACAAGTGAGCTCGTTCGCATGGCTCAATCACGTCCTGGTTGAAGTTCGTTCGCTACGCTCACTCACCTTTAGGTTGGAGCTCGTTCGCTCCACTCACTTGCCTTCAGGTTAGCTCGTTCGCTACGCTAACTCGCTTCCAGGTTGAAGTTCGTTCGCTACGCTCACTCACCTTTTGGTTGCAAATTGGCTGTAGTCATAAATAAAAAAAAAATAATAGTGCTGCACCCTGTTGGTAATCCTTGTAACTTTAATGCTATTGGACATCATAGAACAGAACCAACTTGTTTAATTGAAACAGCTGTTAAGAAATTCCTTTTAAATATGAAAAATCATAAGGTTAACATGGGAAACTCCAGAGCCACTGGGGCGGAGCCCGAAAGCCCGATCAGAATAAAAACTACTTAGTTTTCCTATTTAATGCCCAAAGAATCGGTGTACCGAATTTCAGCCTCCTGGGTAAATGGGAAGTGGGAGAATTAGTGATGAGTGAGTGAGTGAGTGAGTCAGTGAGTGAGTCAGTCAGTCAGTCAGTGAGGGCTTTGCCTTTTATATATTTAGATTATTAGATGCATAATATATAACAAATAAAAAAGGAAGGAGAACAGTTTAAAATGAATTGCTTTTAAACCAGCTGTGAGAGGAGGTTGGGGCTATTTTATTGAGGTTAGGAGGATTAAGTGTATATTCTAGTTTGTACTGGTAATGTACTTGTAGGCTAATCCCCACCTCAATTGGGTAATGTTGCATTGCTATTTAGGGATGGACTTATTGTCTTGGTGATGAAGCAAGACTCATAATCTTAACTATTTTCTCCATTGGTTACTCCCGGCAAGTCTTGACGTCTTTGCCTGTGTATTCATTCTTTTCCAGAGGGTTTGTGTTGTGAAGCATATTTGCATGTGTTGTAGATGGAAGAGAAAGCCTATCGCCGCACTGGCACGCTGAAGCTGCAGGCAGCTCGGGCCCCAGCGGGGGGAGTTTCAGAGCTTTGCCCCCTGACATGAGGTCCGGCCACTTCTCCAACGGGCGAGCTCCACTACGGGCCCCACCCCCGCCCAGCCATTCTTGGCCGACCAAGGACAGCAGGGAGCGGTTCTCATCCCCCAACATGAGGGCGGGGCCTCCCCATCGCAGCGAGCAGAATAGACACATGGGACGCTTCTTTTCTAGATAATTGTGCTTTGATGTTGGTTTGAAACTTAAAAACGTATTGAGAATTGATTGTTTAAAATTAGTGTGAGTGGAATGATTGGGAGATAACTATTTTGTTATGTTCAAAATTTTAACAAGTGGAAAAATCAGTAGAATTTGTGGTAGGTATAAACTATAAAGGTTAGGTTTTTTTACACGAAAGGGCACATGGCTAAGTATTCCATTTACTAATAAGAGTCAACTTGGAACTTTTAATATAGTAACTCTATTTCACAATCATACTGAAACTAAGAAAATTTAAATTGAATAATGATTGATTGAATAACCACATTAACTAACATGTATTAACTGTTAGTTAATACAACTAAAAAAATTTAATGATTGACATTTTTATAAGTTGATTTTACACTTTGACATTTACCAATGTGTTTATATCCTAAAACCCATTGATTGTGTCAATTTGAACGTTTTCAAATGTTTCACAGAATTGCAAGTTGTCCATATTTTGATTGTAAACTTTCTTATACTTTTATTTGTTGACTTTCCAAAAGTTGATATCTAAATGGCATTAGATGTTATGCATAGAAAACCAGTCCAATGTTTTTTAAGGTTAGGTATTCTTTATGCACGAGGTGTGGCTATAAAATAACAATACTGGTTTTCTAAGAATGAGCCTCAAGGCCAATTTTCATATTGCCACGTTCCGACCGGTTCTACGCTACGACACTAGGTTGCTTAGTTCAGCCCAAGTCTTCATTTGTGTATATGATTCTCATCAGAAAAATATCGAACAACATTGCCGTGGAAAATTTGTTGTAGAGCTCAGTTAGTCCACAACAGAGACTTAATGGTGCTCAAAATCATCATGCCTGAACAAAAGTACTCGCGGATGGAAATTTCTTCTACCACCTTGAAAAACATAAAGAAATATCCTAAACTGTTGGGGTATTTTTTCAAGTGTTTTAACAGTGCTTCGCAAAAAAATTTACATGTTGCTCAGTTATAACATAGACAAAAAGAATTAAATATAGACTGTCAGCCGTGCTGCGGTTACCATAAGTTCGGGCGCACACCGCTGTAGTTTACGTAGCGCGTACGCTGTAACTACCATGGCGATCCCAGCGGTGTGCGCCAGAACCTATGGTAACCGCAGCACAGCTGACGGTCTATATTTAATTCTTTTTGTCTATGGTTATAATGCCAACTATTTTCTGACGAGAAGCAAGTACACAACCCAAATACAAGCGAAGGCTGTAGTCGAACTAAGCAGCCTAGAATCCTCAAACAGGCCGTAATGTGGAGGGAGATTGGCAACTTGGCAATATGGCGTTTTGCCTTAATGCTCATGCAGTTTTTCTTTTAAAAATGCCTCTTATTTTATAGCGACACCTAGGATAAATACAAAACTAGTACAAGTTGAAAGGAATAGTTGTATGATACTTGTAAGCTTGTGCAGTGAATCTAGAATATAAGTGGTTACTTTAGCATGTATACTAACTGAAGGAGATTGTAATTTTTTTTTTTAATCGCCACCACAAACAAATTGAGATGTAAAGTGAATTTAGCATTTAAAGTTACTTTGTATTACCTATTTTAACTGTACATTTTGTGTATATTTTAATAGAATAGTTTAGTTTCTTTTCTATGTACTCATAAAGATGGAATAAAATTGCTTTACCTTAAATTAAATTCTGTGCGTAATATTAATGTTTACCTGAAATGAAATTTTATATTAAAAAAAATTGACAGCTAGCCTGTCCAGTATTGTACCAAATTACACACTGTTGGTTCCAAATGAGGGATATTTTCCTGTACATGTGCAGAATCCCAATATAAATTAAAATATACTTTAATAATCACAAAATTGAAATTAATTTTTTTTTTTGTAATTAACATGGACCTTATGGGTTGCCATGTTGGTGACAAAATATCAACAAAATATAAACAGATAATCAAAACAAATGAAAGAAATTCCAATCACATGTGATTTATTTACAGCGTGGGGTGAAAATAGAGAAGTTTGCACAATACATACTTTTGGTTGAGTTTTCAACCAAGGGGCGAGCTCTTGTAACTTCTAAAAATTATCGAAGCAGTAAAAGAATAAACAAAAATTACCAGACTTACTTGTGATAAAAGTATAAATTTTGGGCAATACTGAATGTATTATAACAACAGTTTATTACTTTATTTACAACATTTAAATCAAAACAAACAAAATTAAAATATCTATTAATTATTTATTCATAGAATGATCTAACTTTATTTTTACTGTCCATTTGATAAATTGGTAGTGGATTTTCTCGTAACGTTTCTTTGATTAAGGCGGTAAAAGATAATTACGAACCGTTTGAGCCCTTCTATGTCTATTCCACTAGAATTATCTGACATTTTAACAATCTTTTAAAAAGCCTTCCCGTAACTGTGGGTTAGCAAATCTTTGAGTTCACCAAGGGTTGAGGAAAGAATAGCCTATGTGAGTTTTCGACAGATCAACAATTTTAAATTGGACATTACCAGCTGATCCGTTTACTTTATCACACTAATGTTGTGTTGTGGAGAAAGTAAAAAATGTGGTAAATTGATCTATTCCATGCTGAAAATGTAATTGAAAAGCTAGTTTTAAAAACGGTCATAGGTAAAAGTCATTACTGCACTCGATGATTTGTCATTATTTTTATCTAAAAACTGTGTTGAAGCCAAAGGATCAATAAAACACCAGATTGTATCTCCCTTCGATATTATTCTTTGAATAAATTAACACAATTTGTATGATACATAGCTACAAAAATTGGCTAGCTTAATCTATACGCATACAAAAACACAATCTCCATTAAAATACATTACAATTTCATCATATTATATATGTTCTCAGATACTGACAGTTAAAATAATATATACAATATTGAAAACAACATCTACATAACATTCATAAATTTTTAAGTAGTATTCATACCGGTGTTGAACAAGCTAGTTGAGGTAATTCAATGCACATTATATGGCTCAAGTAAAGAATTAAAAAAATAAACTTGAAATAGAAATTATCACAACACAACAAATCTGACAAAATCATTACAAGTACGTTAAAATATGCATGCATTCTGAAACTTTGAAGATTGGTAACAAAGATATTGTCCAGTAGAACCACCATAATCCAGACCCTCTCGTAATCTAACTCGATGCCACCCACCAAAAAAAGTCAGCCTCAAGTATAGAATATTCAACTGTTTTGGGAAATAAGGGTTATAAGACAGTTTGGCCCATGTGATGAATTGTATTTGTCATACTGCACCATTATTTAAGCAAATTAATTCACAAAACCATTTTATTCACTTTTTATTTCCAATTAATTGGTCTTACCATTGATAAGGAGGTATTTATTCAAGTAAAATACACAATGGAACAAAATTCTAACCACAAATGAATTTTAATTTTAAAACCGGTTACAATTTTGACAAGGAGATCAAATGTCTAGTTCTATGAATAGTCAAAGGTACTTAACCTGTAATTCAAACTAGATGCGACAAACAAAAGAAAACATGAACTGTTACATTCAACAAATTTGGAAAATTTAAAAGCATTATTTAGTTTTTACGTTAATTAGCTCATTTAACTCAAATTCAGTCTTTCTTCGAGCAGTCAAAACTATCACAGGAGTATAAACATAGCTTACATAAGATAAATGTCAAATTTCTTAACAGAACAAGATCTTTTAAACTAGAATTACAAAGAGTATTGGTTTCTTACAATCAATTTGGAGTAAGATCTAACCCATTGACACCGGATTATTTTTTAAATTAAATATTTTTTTAGGTTATTTAGTTTTATGTCTTTTGTCGCACACAATTTCAACTCGATGTCCATATTTGACAAAAGTGTAAGTGTAATCGATCACCACTTACCATCTTTTATATGTATGTAAATACGTCTTGAGAGTAAATAGTTATTTGTGTAACTAGTGGGCAAAGTGGCAATTTGCTGCACACGAGAGAAATATTTACACGCGAGCCGTAGGCGAGTGTGGAAAGTTTCTCGAGTTGGCCTGTGATAGCAAAGGCAGTTTGCACTCGTGGTACACATTATATTTTCCCTGCAGTTACTATAAATCATATAAATAATTAGTCTTTCAAACACTGTACAGCACGTTTTAAGGTTAGGGTAAATCCAAACACTGAACGAAATGGGAAACGCTGCACCAGCTGATCGTAGTCGTATATCTTTAAGTGTTGCAAACTTATTTCCAAGCATACACAGATTATGTGCATAATAAAAGCACGCTGTTGTGTTGTTTGGTTGGAATACTGGTGTATTCTGAAGTAAAAACTGTGCACCAAAGTAAGGCTTTCTGTACTATAAACTGTGCAAGGAAGCCCACTTGACTAGGAAAAAGTATACTGTAAATATATTTATTTATTACAAGTGTTATTTGACGTATTTTTGTACTTTCAGGTAATTTAATAACACATACAATGCTGTTCAAGAAGTTATTTTGCAATCACTATCGCGCCACTCATCCTACACTCATCTCCATTCATACTTGGCTTAAAATACCTACTTTGTATGGTCGCCATTTCATTGATAAGTATTAAAGTGTTAAACTCACTAATGCCGTCAACTTCTACCCAAGCCGAACACCGTTTATTTAAGGTGGGTCCTTCCACTGGCTAACCCACACATTAGTAAGCTCAATATGGACTGCACAGGGGATTTAAACTCGCGCATGTAGAAAGGCCTCAACGCTACACTCGTCTGTGCAACGACTTGAATGAATGCCACTAAAATCATATGTCAACACTATCTCTCGCAGGTTAGAACAATAAACTTAAGTGCTAGTGTGTTAGCAGCAAGGCTACCACGCCACGAAATGCGGTGACGAGCAACACTTAAGAAACGGCATCAATGGGTTAAATCATAACATGTTAAGGTTCACTACCTTACCACAAAAGCAGCCAATTGTCTGAAACAGCTTTGATTCTACTTGTGTATTTTATTGTCATAACATTTTTAATGTAACAATACAATGATTCAAAAATACATAAAAAAAATTTAATACTAAACAATAATATGCTTTGGCTACTGAAGTAGACATTTCAATATGAACCAGCTCTGTAGTGAGTTTTTTAAAGAGAAAATAGTTGACTGAGCATTGACTTTACGATACTGAAGTAGACATACCATCCATATGAACTAGCTGTTGCCAATGTTTTTTAAAAAAAGAACATAGTTCTGTAAGCCAGTCACAGGTTGCGCTAATGTATAAAATTTAATTTTCCACCTTATTTTTAATTACTGAGATAGCTGATAGGAAATAAAAGATGCTTATAGCTAACAAGGTCGTCCCATCAGTTTGAATACTTGACAGAAATGAGTCATTTACAAAATCGTAATCCGACAGTCGCTCACTTTAACGTTCATTTCGAGTTGTAAAATGGCCAAAACTTGAACAAGTACAGCTTCAAATAGAGTGTGCTAGTGAAGATATTTTTCTCTTCTAGTTACTGGTGGAGCCATGGCTTTACTCGGAACTCTCCACCATCGATTTAACACATGAACCTTCACTGTTTTTTCTCTTAGAAACTATTTACATCCGCAAACTGTATCATTGGCTCAATTGAAATAAGTTGATAATATGAAAATGGAGTGTCTACTTCAAAGTACCGGTATTGTATTTTTAGCCAAAGACTTGACTGAACTGTATATCGAACCCAGTTCACTGTAAAATATATATAAATGCAGGCACTGTAACAAATATTCAATGAACAAAAATTTCGTGAGCTTTAATTTTTATATACTTTTAGTATTCTGATAATATTTTCTGCAAAACTGTTGAGCAACAATTAGTAGGTTGGGGTTTAGGATAGCTAGTGATATATAAAGATGTATAGAAATCCAGTAATTGTACTAATTTAAGTTATTTTTGTAGCTGAAGAAAATTATAAGTATATCGTAAATCAAAATAACTATCCAAGATCTTCTGTCATGTGTAGATGTTGAAATAGTTCTTAACATGGTACAGTATACAAAAACCACAGGTTAACTCAATGTTTAGGACAAGAAAAAATAAATATATAATTCTTATTGACAAATATTATGTTACGGATTATGTTTTTATTTTCACTATGAAAAATAATTATTCTAAAGTCATCTTGATTAAAGCTACTATATAATCTACAAAATAATAATTTGTTAACACGCTAAAATAATTTAAAAATATAAACTGAGATTAAAGGACACATTAAAACACCCACAAATGCTTACACTGTATAATTAACCTAAATAAATCACTCCTCTCTTTACAGGCACTGAAATAAGGAAAAGTATAATGTACAAAAGAAAAGTCTAATAAAATCCAAAATTAATAACACAACAATTATCAAACCGTTTCAGCTCCGTACAGTACGCTTCAGCAAACACACTTACACATTTACAGTAGAAATATACATATAAACTTATACAATTTACAATATATAATAAGACTGGTAGGTTAGCTGCGATGAAACTTAAGCTGTGTGAAAATCTCCCGACGCAATTGCGAGACTAGAGGGAGAGATTAGGCTACCTAATACCCAGAAGTCACTGAAACACAAGGCAAAACTAATACTTCGGGCAAAACCTTTAGATTATAAGAAAAGTGTCTATAACCTGCATCCCAACAGAAAAATTTATGCTTGAAAGGCTAGCGTTTGAAAAAAAAAACGTTTTGTTGAGGTGATAGCTAGCAATCTTGGAACTAAAATAACTTTTAAGATGTCAGGATAATGGGCATGCAAACGGCAGCGACAGATGGGTGTTACCGTTAAGTTTGCCATAAGTGGTAAATATTGGAATTTTTCAACAATTTCTGCCAAAGTCTGCCCCATTAAACATTGCAAAGCCAACTCATTCCTTGCTATGAATTACCAGGAGATAAACAAAAATCTTTGAAAAACTTACCTCATAGAAGACTATCATCGCTATCTTGTAACTGCAATGAGTTCATTTCTTGTGAGCTTTCAGCTGGCGGAAACACCTGGACAAAATCTGAAAATAAACAAAAATATTATTTTTCAAAACTTTTGTTATTTTAATTTGTGGCTTACAAGAAGAAGGGAAGTAAGTACATAGGCTTATCATATGTACTTATGCCCCTTCGTGATGCAAGTGTGAAATTTATATAAGAATTGTTGAAACACGTCCTTTATATTATTCTGAAAATGTAACAAAATGTATTTTCTATATTTGTGTTATAGTCTTGATTTTTTAAAATTTATTCTTGATTTATCTTCTTACTTCAGTACACTTCCTGTCATTTTGAGGAGGGTGTTCTTGATTACCCCATGACTGAGGAAGATTTTCACAGTTCAACGCCAATTGCGGGAGATTAAAGTAAGATATTGATGAATGTGGTTTAGAGTTATATTTTTTTCAAATTTTCCCAAAGCAACCAAATTTGGTCCAACCCCAATTTTCCCAGTGACTTGACTGCCAAAATGTTTGACCCAACCAAAAATTTAAAGTGATGGTCTTCGGCAAAAAAATTTACTTCAATAAACACATGACCACTCAATGTACAGTGAGAAGTGAGAGGATGGTTGAATCTAGTTCCTCAGTTTTACCACAAACATGTAATTAACACCTGATCTACTCACCCGAGTCCTCCGTATGGGATCGTGAGATCGAAGGGTCAATGGCGTCCTTGATTTGACTATTGGCTCCTTTGGGGTCTAGGTCGGTGGCCCAGCTAAAGTGCATCAACGCTAAATGTGTGTTACCCAACTTCTTGTGTACCTGCAGAACGGAAACCACAAATTACACCAGGTAAACCATGAAACATGCAGCCTTGACTGATCCGCTGTTGACGTAAATATTTTTTTTAAAGATGCTATAGCTTACAATGAGACGTCATTTTAGTTTGACTTGGTTAAAAAGTTGACATATTCAAAAGAAATCTGTGATTTACATTAGCACACTCTGTTAATCGCTCAATACAACTATGCACATATTGATTCTTACAGACGACTACTTTAACATGTGGATGGAATGTCTAGGTCTAACAGTCTACACAGAACTTACCTTCCCAGTTAGGTAGTAGACTAGAGATTCACTAGGTACGATTTCCTTGAGCTCCTCCAGTTCTTGCAGTGCCTCTTTGAGACGACCGACCGCAAAGAAGATGGAGGCACGGTGGAACTTGCACAGAGGGTTGCTGGGGTCTGCGGCAATAGCAGCATCCAGCGTCTGCAAGGCCTGGTCAGTCTTCTGCTGGGCATTTTGGACCTGGAGGAAAACCTAAAGTTAGCCTACTGTACAATCACTATCAGTAAGGATGAAATAAGAGTCTTGTGTGTACATCACTTTGAGTTAACACAAAGTTTCTTATATTACTAGGTGTTCAAATTATTTCAAAATCCTTTGTCCTTTAATGTTATCCTTAGGAGTAAAAGCTATTGCACACAGAGAAGCTTCTTAAAACAAGGCCAATATGTTTTCACTCTATCGAAGAACCTGCAATTGAGGGTAAACTTTGAACAACAGGCACACGGTAAAATACTAAGAATGAACCATTTCCAATTATCAATTCCTCAAAACTTCAATACCGATGTTATTGAGAAATTTTAGGAACTGGGATAGGAAAAGAATCAAAGTCAATACAGAGGAATCAGAAAACTGGAAACGGTCTCATCCAGAATTTATGTCAAAATTGAGTATTGACTAATAAATATTCATAGATTCATAGTTCAGCTACTTACGACACCGATGTGGCACATGACGACAGAATTGTGGGGGTTGATAGCGAGGGCTCGTTTGAAGTGTACCTCTGCTAACTGGAACCTCTCCTGTTTGGAGTATATTGTCCCAATCCCGAACCTGAAACAGAGTTACGCTTGAGTTTTGATTTTGAAAACTTTTTATTTTTTTACCTAACAACTTGTGACATCTCATTACACAAAAAAATTACCAGAGAGACATCCTACGGTTAACCATTTGAGAAACTGATTGAGTGGGAAACAATATAACTAAACGTTAACGTTGTTATATAATTAAGATTTTAATGTATGGAATTTTTTTGTAGTACTATCCATAGAACTATTAAACTGAACCACAATACAAGAGTTACAACAAAAACTTACCAAGCTATATAATGTCTAGAGTCTATCCGTACGGCATTTCTATAGCAGCTCATGGCTTTTTCTAGCTCCTCCGTCACCACGTATTCATGACCTAGAAGTGTGTAGGCGTACGCAAAGTTTGGATCGACCTGGAAATATTTGGTTATTGTAAAACATTATCTTGTTTAAGGTAAAACTAATTTAGTAATGTTATTCTGTTTAAAAAAATTAAAATTTTTATAAATATTAAAAATCAGGGTTGCCACCAAGGTGAGATAAAAAAATTCATGCATAATTCAAGGTTTTCATTGGTAGTTTTGAAAAATTCATGGGGTATATGCTCGCACAATTTCACCATAAAAAAGTGTTGCCTAGTTCAGAATTGTACATTAATTTATCGAAAATATATAGTTTTGTGTGCTACTATCAAATAAAACACATTTCATGCGTTTATTTTAGAGTTAAAAATAAGAATTTAATATAATTTATCCAGTCTAAAAAAGTAAAATCACAGATGAAAAAAGATATTAATAAAAATCTTGTGTGTGATAATATGATGTAGGCCTAATTATTAACCCTCCGAGGGTCACGCGTCAAAAAATAGACGCACAACACACTTTGTGTAGGGTCACGCGTCGAGTTTAAGACGCACAAACATCGTTTACGGCGAAGGCTCTATGACTGACTGAATCGGATTGAACTGGATCGAGTTAGGTATCGTTCTTTCCGTAATATTCTAAGCTTTCTCCAGAGGCCTGTCTCTAAGCGCTATTCATTTTAGTTCCGAAAATATTGTAGCAGACAGCTGACGTGCGTGTATTTGTAAACAGCTAGGTTCCCCCGGACCGATGACTGATGTGTTTTATTACGTTTATCATTGTTTTAGTGTTAAAAATCAAAAGTAGTGATATACGTGGTGCATTATAAGAAGATTTAAGTGGTTTTGAAGTGCTGGTTGATGATCCTGAAGAAGTAGGTAGTGATATTGATGTAAATTATCAGCCAGATTCCTAGCTATGGTTAGGCTATGCATTCTTAGCTAAACGCTATGTACTGAAATCCGTTTTTCGCTCATAACTTATTTATTTGATAACTTACCTCGCTATATGATTATATATTTGTAATCCTCATTAAATTTAGAACAAAGTGGCTATTTTCAAATATTTATAGGCCTATAATTTATACAATTTCATTGAGCGCGAACTTATTTTTTTTTTGAAAATTTTCGAAATTATATTTTTTTTACCTAAAAATTTTTTTTTGAAAAAATGTTCCTTATGTTTTATATATAATATTGAAGCCCATGATTTTCCAAACAAAATGGTATATAGAACATTAGAATTAACATTGTTTTAAGCTTCTCAGATCCGTTTTAATAAAACCTTGCAAAGGGGCCAAAAATAGGTGGACATTAAGGCCTAAACTATGGACACTCGGAGGGTTAAAAAAAATTGAAACATCTGATTTAACAACATCATAGGCCTAATGATAAATTCAAACGTTAGAAGAAATAATAAATAAAAAAATAAGTCGGATTGGTAGTTAGGTCTAGGCCTAACCTAAAAAACATTGCATCCAAACATAAAAGGTTTAACTTAGTTAATCCAGCAATGGCCTAGAACTTTACTGTCTAAACATCAAATTAAGATAATAGGCTACTATAAAAACAAATGCTAAGAACATGATCAAGAAACGGTTAACTTAGTAATGGGCCATATCTAGGCCTACTAAAACGCACATGCACTTTATTACTTTATACTGTAACACAGTAGGCTAGCCTACATTGTACTGTAATCCAAAGCTGAATCCAGGCTAAGTTAGGCCTGAACCAACTTTTATTTATTGAGAAGATTAAAGGTTACCAACTGACTGATAAAAACAGTCTAAAAAGGTAAGATTATGTAAATAAATATTTAGTTAAAGCTAAGAACGAAACAAAAGTTATGGAATGTATGTAAGTTTAGACATAGGCTAACTTACATTAAGTAATAAAAAAATAATTAATTACATTACAGAAAATGTTAAAATAAACATAGTTAGGAGGATGTTTCTTCAGATTGGATCAGTTTATATATTATTTTTTGCCTACACAGGTTTAAATCACAGTTAAAACAATTATTTAATTAAATTTACATCTCATTAGTTAGATTCGTATTGACTGAAAACACCTAGTTATTATGCTTCAACAAAACATTTACCACATTTACCTTCCTCAGAACGAAATCACCATTTTTCAGCACAACATTGACTTCAGGCCTAAATAAATAAACTTAATCTCACGTTGTAACACATTTACTCAACACTGACAGTAGTTTGAAATGACGACATAATATGACCAAAACAAACACAGAAGACGATTAAGTTCCAGCCGGCGCAAGCCATTTTGACCTTTATGGCAAGGCAAGGTACTTCTTATTTTAACGTTGTAAAGTATCGGAAGTATAATATATCAGTAATAAAAAATATTTAATCTGAACACTTGTTCCACTGAGTGTTGGGTAATCAATTATAAGAAGCACAAAACTGAATCACGAGTGCAACAAGTGATCTTACTGTCCTGTCCAGTGTCCACCACTACTTCAAACGTTTGACTCGTTTCTATTCTAAGTTTCAGATCAGTTTAAAACTTTTAGGTTATGGTTACTCTGTATTTCCTTCCACACGAACTGAGACTGTTGAGTTGAGAGTAGAGACTAGAGAATGAGAGCGAGCATCAATTCCGATTGTCGATGTTTTCGAAACATCGATGTCTTTTCTATCGATGTTCGAAGTTATTTGTTTACATCGATGGTAGATTACCGAACCGATGATTTGGTTTGTTACATCAGTCTTTTAGGCCAACAAAAGTAATGAAATATTGATGTTTTCCGTAACTGAATTGTATTGGTTTTAGGTTATTTTGTATTGGCTGTGTTGGTTTATTTAGACCAGACGAGAAACTCGGAACAAACATCGATGTGATGGTAAGGTAAGGATGGTAAAGGATGGCAAAGAAAAGAAGTTGTGAGAAAAGCAGGATTATCCAAAGGAAAAATAGATATTCATGTGGTGTCACCAAAAGGAAAAGTTTTTCGATCCAAAAAAGAGTTGACTAAGTACATTACCGAAAATAAACTGGAACTGAAAATAGAACATTTTAATTTTTCTACAAAAAAGCTTCCGACAGATATAAGTTCAGATGACAGTCAAACTTCTAATACTGATCTAAGCCCCGCACCTTCTGACACATCTATAGCAACAAATACATCCTTTAGTTTTGACAATTTAACAAGTAGCTTAACCATGCAAACTTTGGATTCTTCTGTAATCACTATAAACAATGACAATGTTTTGAATAGCCAAGACCGGATTCGAGAGGAGTTGCTTGGTAAAAAGTGGCTGTCTGACATTTCTCTCCAGCCATATTTATAACTGTTGGATGACAAATTCCTTTACAAAAAGGACTGTACCATAATAAATCCACTAATCCTTAATGGTGTTAAAAACTGTCAAGATTTTCATTATTTGCTTGAGCCCTTGCATATTAGTAAAATGAAAATATTAATCATGGTAATCAATGATTCTGATCAAGTAACTACCTCAGAAAACAACACTAGTGGTTCACACTGGAGCCTTCTTATTTACAATAAAATAGTAAATAAATATCACTATTTTGACTCCAGCAAAAGTTATAATTTAGAATCTGCAAAGAAAGTAGCAGATAAAATCTCAGGTTACATTGGAGAAAATGCATTGAACTACGAATTTATTGAAATGCATGGACCTCAGCAGTCAAATACATGGGACTGTGGTGTTTTTGTTTGCTGGCTTATAGAGTCTATTGTGCATGACATCGTAACTCAGGAAACTATCAACTTAGACTTCCTCCAAAATGTTGTACTCACTGAATCAGACATAGTTTCCAAACGATCCCATATAGCCTATGTACTGAGTAATCACTTTGCAATGAGCAGTGAATTTTTCATGAATTTCATGCTTGACAAATCCCATAAATACCCCAAGATACTGACAACACTTAAATCTACACTAATAAGTGAAACAGTTTGCAATAACAATGTAGCACAAACCTTACAGCCTTTGGACAACAAACTTAGTTGCAATACTGAGAAACTTGTTGCTAGCAAAGAGTCTACCTCCCAAGAGAGTAAAACCCCATGGACAACAGTTACCCCAAGAGGACGAAAACCTTTCACGCCTACACATTGTGATACGAGCAGCAACATTCAGCAAAATGAGGTTATTGTATCCAAAAACCCCTTTGAAATATTAAGCACTCAATCAGACCTTAACCCCCCCACACTATCAGCAGCGACCGAACTGAGTACATCTACTAATATAAAAATTCCAAATAAAAAACAACCCAAGCCTGCAAAAGTAGTCAAGCCAGATAACATCAAATTGACCAGCAAGACAAAAAAACATAATTTAACAATTGTGGCTGATAGTCAGGGGAGAGATCTGGCTAGCCATGTGACCAGCCTCACTAATGAGACTTTTAATGTGTTTGGACACATAACACCTGGAGCTTCGTTTGAATATGTGGTGAACAAAACTAAAACTATGTCACATTTGAAGTCATATACAGAAAATGACTGGATTTGTTTGATTGGGGGATCAAACAATGTGAAGCTTCACCACACAATGAAAGACCTTAACGAAACTTCAGATTCAATAATAAAAAATCTAGAGAGTCTAATTGTCAATTTAAAAAACACAAATCTTATAATAACCACAATACCCTACCGATATGACCTACACAATTATAAGGTACAGCATAATATAATTTCAGAAATAAATAACAAGATTAGAGCATTGGTACATACAAATTCTCATACAAAGCTATTGGACTTGCATCTCTTGGAAAAATTTTATCATACACGACAAGGTTACCATATTAACAAAAAGGGGAAAAAAATCGTAGCTAGAAAAGTATGCAATCTCATTTTTGATAAAAAAATATTGCCAGAGCCAGATAAAACACCCTTTAAGCCTAGCAGTATAATAACAGTAATCGATCAAGACATGGCAACTACACTGAAGAACAACTGTAATAAGAAGAAAGTAGCTTTTGCCCACAGTATATCAGGTGATTTTGGTCACGACAGGCAAATGACTGCTGGAGTTGCCGTTAAATTTAAGAACCAATTCG